TATGTGTTTAGAAAAAAAAACAAAAGAGACATTGAAATACCCGAATAGTGATTGATAGATTTCGATGATATACTATTTCCATTTGAACTAGTTGATAGTTCAATATTTTGTAAATTATCATTTTCATTATTTTGTTTTTGATCTTTTTCTAGATTATATTCATTCATACATGCATCAATATAATTTTTAATCATATTATCGGATGTATTTGGTTGTTTTGGTTGAAAATTTGTAACGATTATTGTTAAAATATTTGTATGACGATTTAATAATGGTGATGATTTTCGTCGTTCAGGTAAATTTTCATTTATAATCGACGAATCTAATATATGATTAGGTGGATTTTTTAATGATGTTCGTTTTGTTAATGAAAATGGATGAATAAATGTTCGACGAATTATTTTTGAAAATGAATTAAATGATGAACGAGATAATTTTTTATTTCGTGTTGATGTTGTTGTTGTTGTTGTTGTTGGTGTCGTTGAATTCAGTTCATGTGAAGAATCAATATGATCTCCTTTTGATATTTGTTCATCATCTATCGTTGTTGATACTTGTGGATTTAAATTATTTAAAAGTGAATATTCTTTTGATAGATTTAAATATTTTTCCAGTATATTCATTCGACTTTCTTCATAATTTGGATATAAATGAATTTTATCATCGGATAATTCTTTATCAATTGGCCATTGAAAATTTAAACCAGGATCAATTAGAAAATGGATAGGTAAAAGATCAAGAGTCTCTATATCGATTAGAGGTATACGATACGTAGCTAATAAAAAAGAAAAATAAATTTAAATAATTCATATTTTATTCAATTACTTTTTGTTATTGATTTTATAGTTTGTTCCATCGCTACAAGAGCTGAAAAATGTGCAGCATCAAATGCCAAAAATACCTAAATTTAATTGATAAGAAAATATCATTAAATGAGTTAACCTACCGGTTGTTTATGACATTTATCTGGTGGAATTTCTAAATGAACAAGAAATATAAAAAATTCGAAATGAAATTTTTTTTCTTCAAGATCAAAATTACCTAATGGTAAATAAATACCACCAAATTCAATGGGTGAAATAGCTTCACCATCATTTGTACGTAAGATTGTATCTGAATAAATAATAATTGGTCGACGTATATTATTTGCAAGAACATAAACATGAAATTCTTCTAAACTTTCATAGTATTGTCTTGATGATTGTGATAAAGATTTTGTTGAATCATTTGAATTGATTGGAGTAGATTTTAAATAATTACTATTAAAAATAGAAATGATTTTTATTTTCCTCTTCTTCTACTTCATATAACATACTCATCAATAGGTGGATTTGAGTCTAATACTTTTGTTTGTACGGTACGTGGTTCAGCAGATGATAATCGTAATAGACTTTTCCATTCTTCATTCCATTCTTGTTCAGAAAAAACAAGACCATACTATGTAAATAAAATAGTTTTATTATTTAGTAAAAATTAAATTTCTAATACTTTTTTATTTTGTACAGATTGTGCCCAACGCCAACGTCGATAGAGAGAACAATTTGGTTTTGAAGTTATTAATGTTTCATTTAATGCTTTACGCATTGATAATGAATGATCATGGAAACCCCACATTGCTAGTGATGTCGCATGTAATAAACAATTTCCATCTCCAGTTGTTACTAACGGATATAATTTTGGACATGGAAGTTTTTTATTAACCCACCAATTGAGACGTTCTAAAAATGATAGAATTTTTAAAAAATAAAACTCCAAAGTTAAAATAATGTATATATATATACTTGTTTCCTCCAATGATATCATTGTTGGTGTATCAACTAGACTATCCATAACACGAATACGAATATCTTCGGGTAATTCATATAAATTTGGTAATATAAATGACGATTCAGCATCATTATGATCAATTGTAACTATTTCATCATTAATTGATGTACGACGATAATTATTAGCTAAAACATTTCGTTGATTATTTACAAGTGTTTGATTAGCTGATACAGTTGATAAAGCTCGATGTAATATTGGATTCGTTAAAGAATCATTATCTAAATTAAATTGAATAAAGATTTGTTCATTTTTTTTCTCATTTAAATTCTTACTTGTTCGTCGAAGTTTAACATCTACTGATAAATTACTGTCATTATATGAATTTTCATTTTTATAATATGAAGAATAATTTTGCATTCTCTATTGAGTATTTGACATATTAAAAAGAATTTTTTTTTCAATTAATTCAAATCCTATCATATATCTGGCATGATTTAAAAATATATGAAAGTATTTACATCCTTCAAATAATAAAGATATATTTACAACAATGGTCTGTTCTAATTTTACGACAAATTATTTTGTTTATTTATTTATTAAGAATTATTTCATTTATTATGAAAATATTAATCAAAATAAAAATATGAGAATTATTGATTATTATTGAAAATTGTGTTCGGGATTTTGTTGATTAGTGTTAGATAAATATATATACAGATGTCACTTTTAATTAATCATGTCTCTGAATATCCATTGGTTCTTATTTTTGTCATAGTACGTTCTTTTTGTGGATATAAAATCAATTATTTTTGATAAAATTTTGCTAATAAACTGATGCAAATCTTTTTAGTTCAAATATGATTAATGAACCATCAAGACTAAATCATTTCCTTGACGAATTAGTAAACATAGATGATTTTATTTATAAGAAAAATGCTAATAAATTTTAATTATTTGTTAAGACTGACAAAAAAATTGAACGAGAAACAATGATATTTACATCTGAATTATATGAAAAAGTTATTTCTGCTATTCTTTGTTCATTTAATTCAACAACAACAAATAATGAAAAACAAAATGCATTTAAATATCTTGAAGATTTAAAAGAAAATCATTCAATGATATGTTTAACAATATCATTTGAATTATTAAAACAAACACATAATCAACATATACTTCATCATTATAGTTTACATCTTATGGAATCAATTATAAAACATAAATGGAATATATTGAAAAATGATGATAGAAATTTAGTTAAAAAACAATTATTTTCGATTATTAAGAGTACTTATCTGAATCAAATATTTACGGAACCAGCACATATAAGAAATTCTTTAGCAAAATGTTTAGTTGAATTAATTAAACGAGATTGTTTTGAAAAAGTTAATACAACATTAGATGAAATTGTTAACATGATACAAGAAATTAATCAAATTCAAGGTTTGTTTTCTATTTGAAAGATGCGGATAGGAGTTGGGAAACAAAACGAGTACTTTTAACCTCACCCTCACTTCGTAAGGTTCGTCATGCGCATCCTTCAGGATACCAATAGAAGAATGCATTACTTTTCAGATAAATTTAATGAACTATATAGTTTAAAAAACTGCACTCTACATCATCTTCTCTTTATTATAGA